GCGATTTTTTGGCCAGATTCCGACAATGGTGGCTAGAATCTGGCACTACAGGTGATGGGGGTATTTTTGTCATTTTATATGTTGGGGGTATTTATTAAATTAGCAAACTTATGGGATTATTTTATAAATTTTTAAATTTTACCTTGTAATACTCCCATATTCAATTATCCAATACTATTCCTAAAATTCTATCCAAAATAATAAACCAAAGGCACCCTTTATTATTACTACAATGACAAAGGGGAATTTTAGCTATAAACCCATTAATGTATCACAGCAATGTTTTATGATCTCCAACTTTTATCAAATAAACATTAATAATTTTTTAAGCTTTATAAATATAATCTATCGGTAAAAGTGTCATTTCTATTTACATGTTACATTAATCATTTTCTTGTTATTAATTTTATCAATTAAATATTATACTTAAATAGTCACATCATATAAAAGAAATAAGTACGCAATGGAGACGACTTATGGACCTGCTTTTTCTTATTCAGTTAGTAATTCATCCTCTGTCTACAACTTTTAACTTTTATATTATACATAACAAAGGCAAACAATATTAAAACTCAATTATAAACATTTTTTTTTTTTTTTTTTTTTTTTTTTCGTTTTTGGCAATCGTTAAAGGGCAAATGTTATTATGTTAGTTGAATTATTATTTTGATTCTTTAATTTCTTTATTAGTTGATAGTAGCGTTATGTCTTTTTTTTTTTTTTTTTTCAGTTGCTGTATTTTGGGAGGTCCTTAATTGGTAAGAAATTTTATCATTTTTTTGTCTTATACTAGAAAAGAGTTGTTAAGAAATTTATTTTGAGTTATAAATAATGCTATAGATAAATCGAGTTATAGTAAAGAGAATTTATTTTTAGATTTTGCAAATTTTAAATTTACTGGCCATAGAATTATTTATCTTTGAAAAAAAAAAATATCCTGATTTGGTAGCAAATAGCAAGACAGGCAAATGTGACCATATATTCACCAGAAATAATACCATTTTAATGGAATAAGATCTTATTGTATACAAAATTTGTTTAATCATGTGATAAATTGCATGGCATACATAGATATTTGAGAAATTATATTAAACGACATTATTTGGAGCCTTGAATTGAGAAATAACACTTTTTAGAAAGTGTCTCAAGAAATAGCAAAATCCTAATTTACACAATATTTTTAAGACAAAATTGCCGCCGCATATAAATAAAACTACAATATTCATCCATCTTCTTCAACCCTAACCTACTCATCTGTCTATTGCCAAAATTAAAACTTTCAACCCTAAACCAATACCCACCACATATTTGTGCCAAAATCGAGTGGAATTTGAGTGGAAATACTAGTTTTTGATTTAGGGTTTTTGGTGGGATTTTAGGGTTAAGAATGAGAGATATGTTAAAATGTTGTTGAGAACGGTGCAAAAATAGCTAGATAACTGGGTTGTAAAATGGTGAAATGACGGTTGCAATTTGTGTTTTTTGGCCGAATCAAGGGGTTTTAATTGGATTTAACCAAAAAATGTAGGTTTTGCTAGAGAAGATAAAGTCTATTTTTGGTCGAATACCTTGGATTTGGCTAAGACATGTTCTATCTAAATTGGCCAAATCAGGCCAAAGGCATGTTTTCAGCCACCTTAGTATCAAAAGGCACAATTGGTCGAATTCGACTGACATGTGAGTTTTGGCTAAAACTCGTCTTCAACCTTTAGATAATTTTCTATCTGAATCCTCTAAAATTGGCTAAAACCCATATTCAAATTTCGCCTAAACAATTCATAATTAACAAATCCACTAAAATATAAATTAATAAACTATAAAAATAATAAATCATTTCAAAAATAACTTATTTAACATGTTTCCTAAGACATATATGCAACGTACTTAAAATTTTATATTTCAAACAACTTTCAAAATAACAAAACTTTCATTAAAAAACAATAAATTAAGAAATCCTTAAAAAAAAAAGCTCTTCAAGATCACAAATTCAAGTCTTCACTTGGGGTTTTAGAGTGAAAGCGTGGGTTTTGAATTAGAGTAATACTAACCATACAAAGAGTTATACAAAGAGTCAAATCTAGCCCTTGAAAGAAGGGAAAAAGAAAGAGAGAAAGAGGCAATCATGAATTTCAAAGGCTAGATTTGACTCTTTATATGACTCTTTGTATGCCTCTTTGTAAGGCTAGTATTACTCTTTGAATTAATGTTAGGGATTTGTCATTAAAGGTAATTTCGTCCACTAATTTTGTACTAAAAAAAAATATGCTATTTCCTGATGTGCTTTCGAGAAGTTGCTATCAACTCCCTCCCTTAATTGTGCCATTTAATATAATTTCTCTAAATATTTTGATATAATTCCCATATTAGTTTTAATTTCTCTATAATTGTGTTGTTTAATTATATTCTTTTTTTACCATTTTAACCAATCAGGTGCAAGGTCACATATGTATATATATATTTAGTATGAGTAATACTACAGCAACCGACAGTAATGCACTAAATGACGTGACAAAATCCTAACCATTGATAATATTAAGTTAAAATTAATCAATGGTCAAGATTTTGTCATATCATTCGGTGCACAAATTCGATGAACTACCGTCGATGATTGTATTATTTTCTATTTAGTATTTATGATCACTTAAATTTAACTAATTTTTGTTTTCATCATTTATAATTGGAGTACTTAGGAAAATACATTTTTGTAGGTTTTATATCAAGATTATAAAATACAACCATCGTTTTATTGTTTTCTTCCTTGAAATCCTAGAAAGCGATCCCTCTGGGTCCCAAAAAGTCTTGTCATCCATTGGTCAGAAAACGCCGCATCACGACACGCAAATGACACATTGCCACACATAAACATTACCCACTCATCTATCGTACTTATCATCGCCATAAAAAACCATTATTTGCTTCGTGACTCGCTGCGTCCTTATTTTCTCCCTTTTCTTTCGATTTAGGGCACGGAAAAAACAAAACAATAACAAAATCGTTAACAAAACTCGCTATTTGACTCAGTAGCCTAACACAATAGATTCCTGATCTGCCTCTCAGGTACTCTCACTCTCTCTTTCTTTCCCAATCGCTGAGTCCTACTTGATTTTCGACTCGCCCGCCGAGTTCGATCTGAGTTCACTTAACTTTTTTTTATTTTTTACGATCCTCCCGTTCTGTCACCGTTTTCTTTTTCAAAACATGCATCAACTATTGTTCGTCATTAATCGCGATAAGTAAATTAGTTTTTTTATTTTTGTAATTTTTTTTTTTATTTTTTGGAGTTGAGACTTTGATTTGTTAGTATTAGGTTTTCGTTTTAAGCATTGAAAGCTTTATTTGGTTGCTGAGAAGCTGCGGCCAAATTTGTGGCAGATTAATTGATTTATTTATATTTGGATTATGCAATTATTGATGAAAGCTTTACTGAAGTAAGCGGAAGTAGAGATTGTTTTTACTTCTTGCTTTTATTTTTGTGAGTGCTGAAAATGAGATGTTTAAGTTTTAGATTTTAGTTTCTTTTGGTTCTTTCATATTCTAAGTAAAGCAGTAAGAGATTATTTTCTTGGTTTTTAAAATTTTTATTTGCTTTTTTGCTTATCTTGGATACTACATTTGCGATGGAGACTTAATTTTTATATAACTGATTTCATCATTACGTTTCTGTTTATAGCTTGCAGCTCTTTAGAAAATGGATTTAGTGTGGACTTTTTTCAATAATTTTTATGTTATTATATTTGTGTACATTTGTGGGTCCTTTCTTCTATATTGAGCATGTTAGGGTTTTTGACCAACCATATTCTATATTGAAATTTGTCCCTGTTTTTTCTTAACGAAACGTTATGTGTAGGAATAAATCATTGAAGCCTAATAGGACTCCTTAACTCGTGTTTGTGTAAGACCATTCTATCTATTCGTCAAACATTATATTAATTTTGCAAAGAGTGATAGAAACCCAGACATAAGGCCTTTAATACTGTCAAGATTCTGTTATTCCAAAATTGGTGGTATACAAAGTTGATATTAGGTAAATGAGTTAATGACCTCCGACTACGTGTTGGGATTCATTCTTGATGTTTGGCTCTGTGCGTGTTGCTTGTGACATTTGGGCTCCGTTCATTCTAGTCCGCATATTCCTGTCTCAGTTTTGGTTACACTTTTAGTTTCTTACAATAGTGTTGTCCTTTTCAGGCAATAAGTTGAATATTCACTGAGAAAAGCTTTTCAAATCAGCAATCTATCTCTTGAAATCAAGAAACAGAAGGGCTTCTTCCCAGCGAGGAATGATTTTTTGCATGAGCTTTTGACACTTGTGCAATGTCGGGGTTACTTAATGTACTGTCACTGAACTTGCAAACTCTAGGCCAAAGAAATTATCCATAGAGTTGTGGAACCTTTTTTTGCTTAATGGGATATGTGCATTTTGTTCGTTGTGAAGTGGTTACATTTATAGAATTTGGAATTTGCTTTGAGACAAATTTATGATGTCTTCTCCGTCTATAAGAAGTGATAAGTGTACAATGTTTTAGTATTTTTATTTTTTGTGGGATTTTTGCTTATAATTGGTGTATTTCTGTTTATGTGCTAGTTGGGCCTAAGCAAAAAACGAGGTGATTTCATCTTATGTAATATTGGGGTTTACACTATTTTAATTAGGTTATTCTTTGAGTAATATGGTTTTGAATTGAGTTGCCACTTTGGATGTAACAAATTTAGTACTGACCTGTTGCTTCTGGTAGTAGCGTTACTTGCCTAATGTATTTAAGGATGAGTTTAGAAATAGCCACTGCTATGATTATGAAAATTATTGTTGCTTGCTTGTGTTGGATGCATCATTATTGTTTGAATGTTGGGCAATCCTTTGTTATGCTATTTGTTTAGTTTAACTTGTATTTGATTTTATGGTGATATGCATTTTTATGGATTGGCCATGTTTTTTCTGTTCTTTTGGCAAAATTTTGACACACTTTAGCTGCAGTTCTCTCAATGGATCGGCTTCTAATATTCAGACGGTACTGGGGATCATTTGCCACATCTTTCTTGCACAGTCTGGTGCGGCTTCCCCTGTTTCCATCACACTGTGGGTGATTTTGCGCAGCTGCAATCATTTGGTTCTTTAATTTTATATAATGGTATCTTTTCCTTTTGCAGGAACTATTAGGGGCTCTATAACATTCATGGGAGCTTTAATGTTCCCAATATGCCGGGCACACTTACTTCAAGAAACTCAGCATAATAACGTTCCATGGTGGGGTTCAACAAACTAGTGGAAGCCTTTCAGTGGAAGAGTTGCATCAAATAATCTCCTGTTGCTCTATCCCAGTACTTGATATGGCCATGCATGGAATTTTCTCTGTTTGTTCTTTCTATAACATGTGTTATGTCTGCATGCGTTGTAGTTCTGTATAATGTCTTACTTTTCAATTGATTTGCAGGATCTCATGGAAGCTCTATGGACATTCAGGAGTCACAAACAGAGGGGGTATAAGTGTTGTGGGAACCCTGGATTTAGTAGTAACACAAATGGAGTTGGCGGTTCTATTCCGGGATTCTCCAACCTTGCGCAATTGGTAACCGGAATGCTGTTCCAGGATTGGGAGTATCCCCAATTTTGGGAAATACAGGTTCGGATTACAGTTCAATGGGAAACTGGTTGGTGGGGGTAACATCGGAAGGAGCATAAGCTCTGGTGGAGGATTATCGTCCCTGGCTGCATCTCGTTTAAATCTATCTGCAAATAGTGGATTGGAAATCTGAGTGTGCAAGGACAAATAGGTTGATGAGTGGTGTGCTTCCACAAGGTATCTTACCCTGAAATGGCAGTATATTTTTTTTTGGGACTAGGGAAGTTGTCACTGATCCTCCGATATGTATTAGCTTTAAGTGACCTATTCTCTTATAATTATGTATTGTCTATTATACCAATGTTCCGAAAACTGGACTGGACAATGACCTGTTCAAGGGTCCGGTTGACCGGTTGGATCGGTCGGTTGGACGTATTATGTAAAATTACACTGTAGTCCCTCAAGGTTTGAAATTCATCAAAAACACCCTATAATACTCCCTTAAGGTTTGAAATCTGTCTAAAACACCCTGTTGTGCGAAGAGACTGGTTAGTGGTGGCGGCAGCGACGATCGACGGCAACTAAAGTTGGAATCATGGGGCTTTTGACGTATAGGTTCCGGCGAATCTGATGGTGGTGCTAGGGAGTTCTTCGGCGACGGAACTTGTGGAATCAACAAAGAATCCGACGGTCGCGTAAACTTTTGGTGGACGGCGAGCGACGAAGGCTGGACGAGGCCACTGAAAATGGATGGGTTTGGTCGTGGAGATGCCGTCAGTCGAATGGTAGTGTTTTCTCTGTCGAACGATGCCCACTCGGCGGGATTGAGCTGCGATTGGACCATGACTCGGCAGTATTCCGGCGGTCCAAACTGCGGCTCAACCGGTTTAACGGTAAATACGGTTTTATAGAGATAACGGACCGGAAATACCGCCGGCTCCAGTCGAACTGGTCGATTGGACGGTCCGGTCGGTTTTCAGAACTTGATTACTACACACGCACAGATATTATTCACATTCTGTTATGGACTTATTGCCACATGAATGTTCTGGAAGATTCTCGGCACTTGGGTGTGAACACATATTTATTCATTTATTTGTTAGGTTTCTCTTCTAAATTTTTTATTGATGATAATGGATTCATGCAGCTTAGTCTAGCTTGTTTGATTGTGTGAACTGACATATTTTATATTCAGGATCTCCACAGGTCATTTCTTGTTAGGAAATTCCTATCCTGTGCTGGTGGTCCACTTTCCCAAAGTCACGTTCAAGTGAACACTTAAGTTCTATGGGAATGTTGAATGATGTGAACTATATGACAAATTCTCCATTTGAATAAATAATGATTTCCCGCAGTTGACAAGTCGTCCTAGTTCTGCAGGAGGCCCTCAAGGTCAATTGGGTAATTATAAAATGTGGAGTTGGCTTTTGGATACTTCTCTTTGTTCTATTTCTTGCAACTGGAGATATAATTTAAACTGAACATTTCAGGTTCACTAAGGAAACAAGGTCTCGGAGTTAGTCCATTGTCAACAAAACCAAGAGTTCAGCATCCAAAATGAAGATTTTCTGCTTTACCTGGCTTTAAAGGTGCAAAGATATTCTTTTGGCTGCTAGATATGTGCATTTTACATTATGTTGTGTCAGAATAAGGTTATCTACCATTTTATTGGGAACTTGGAATCTCTCATAGGAGAGTTTCAGGTCTTCACGCTCAATGGTTCACTGATGCTGAGTAATGTGTTTCCATCTACTGATAAATGGAGATGCTGTGCTTATTTTCAAGACTTTACTATTTAATATTTTTGTGTCGATGGTTAATGATCCTGAAAGGGAAAAGAGATCTATATTGTGCATCGTTCACCCATGAGAGTTGTTCTTTTACACGAGTTTGACTTGTTAGCCATTACTAACTAATTATTTGGGATGGAAAATTCTTTCTCCGCTCAATATGTCAAAGAAATAAAGTTTAGAAAAAGACAATTTTGTAATGGAAGCTGATTGGCTATCGTAAACAAAAAATGTTGATCAGGTGTCTAGAACTGTGAGTTGTTGACTATTTTGTTAGGTTTTGTGCAGGCGGTAATGCTGACATATGATGGGCATCAGAAAGAAAACTCATGAAACACCATGTCAATGATGCAATCTCAGCACTTCTCTGTAAGTTCTACTGTTCAAGAGATTTCTAGCTCCTCTTTTTATTCCTTTTGTTTTCGTATACATTTTTGTTGATAGAATTTCCATTTGTATTGGAATGATGCAATTTGCAGATGGGCAGATTGGGGTTTATAGGTGGAACCTACTCTTCTCATCGTCACAGCAGCAACAGCAACATGCTCATCTGTAGTAGTAGTGGTGTCTCCTTTCATCCGTAACAACCAGGATATTCTCCATTTACATGGTTCTGATAGTTCCCATCTTCACATTCGACCTACCACTACAGGTTTGGCACTTGTTGCTCTAATTGGTTATTGTATTGTCTTGGCATTGCTGTTAACTTCTTATGTACTTTGTACGTGTATTTATAGGTGGTTAACAGAGGTGAAAGTTGATTTTTTGTATTTAATTTCTTCCATCTTTCTCAAAAGAACTTAAAAGCAATGTTTAAAACAACACGGGGTGAAACCCTGCAAAGTTTCCGGGTCTTGGGTGGACCGGTCTCCGGTCAAACGGTTGACAAAAAATTAAAATTCAGCAAATACACCCCTGAAAATTACATGTAAGTCCCTATAGGTTTGAAACTTTATCAAGCACACCCCAAATGCAAATCGAGCGGGCGACTGATTGGCGGCGGCACACACCCAGAGCAACCCCAATCGTCCCTTAAGCCATTCCATTAAAATCTACTCAAGATTTGGCCGAAAAGGTTTGATTTTGGCCAGATCTCATCGACGCGGCATCGGCATTCTAGGCCAGATCTCATCGACGCCGGGTCGAAAACCCTCCCATCACCCAGAATCACTCCCCTCTTCCTCCCGACCGAACCACCCACCTCACCACACCTCGTTAGTTGGCCAAGCTGGCAAAATCCCATTGTTGCCGCTGCCAAATTTGTTCGATTTCCGGTCGATTTACTCACCGGAAATCAACGCCGTCACCACCATTCCATTCACCGGCACTTACTCCACAAAGCCCCAACCTTCGGCCGTCGATTGTTTGCGATCATCCTCCCAAATCTTAGGGTTTTGGGGTGAATCAGAAAAGTTAAGCCTGGCCCGTTGCGCTTTGGGTCCTGGTTCACCCGGTTCAACAGGCTGGGCCGGGCGGGTCGGGTTTAAAAACAAGTGCGCTGAAAGCTTAAATACAGTACTCACAAGGGTTAATCTGAATTATGGATCTATCTTTTGAGAATAATACTACTATTTCCCAAGTTTATCCAGAACTTCCTATTTTGAGTGACTTTTGCTGTTTCATTGGAAACTGTTGACTGATGAGTTTGATAACATTGCGGAAGTGGTAGAAATAATTGAAATGTGGCATTGGGTGTAATGGAAAGAACTGAGCGAGTTAATTCAAAGGGATTAGTTTCACTGCCCCATAATAAGCTAATGCCCTTGTAGACATTTTTCTTTGTATCATCTTTTGTTGTTTTCTTATTCTGATGATCTATACATTTCATCTTCTGTTCAGACCAGTGGACCACCTGGCATTGGACTAAGACCTTTGAATTCTGCCAATCCAGTTTCTGGTATTGGCTCGTATGACCAGCTTATTCAGCAGTATCAGCAACATCAGAACCAATCTCAATTTCGCCTACAACAGATGTCTGCTGTCAATCAGTCATTTAGGAATCAGGATATAAAATCCATGCAGTCAGCACATTCTACTCCTGATCCATTTGGCTTGCTTGGCTTGTTAAGCGTGATAAAGATGAGTGATCCTGATCTGACTTCGCTTGCACTTGGAATTGACCTGACAACACTTGGATTGAACTTGAATTCAGCAGAAAATCTTCATAAGACGTTTGGTTCACCATGGTCTGATGAACCAGCCAAGGGCGACCCAGAGTTCACTGTGCCACAATGTTATTATGCTAAACAACCACCTGTGCTACATGTGAGCTGCTCTTCATTTTTCATTTATGGTGGTTCGTAGTGCGTAAATATTTTCTCTTGCTTATCCCGCTATTTTCTATTGTCTACAGCAAGGTTACTTTTCAAAGTTTTCAGTGGAAACATTGTTCTATATATTTTACAGGTGCATCTTTTGTTTCATTTTTGTTGCATTATTGTCACATGCTTCAATTATTTTATTTTATTTATTTATTTATTTTGGGTGTGTTACTTACCAACCATGGTTTCTATCTAATTTGCAGCATGCCAAAAGATGAGGCCCAATTATATGCTGCAAATGAACTGTATGCTCTCTCTCTTTTTTATTTTTTTGTTCTGATGTTGATTTACCCTTAAATGTCAAATAGACGTTTCTGGTTTCCAAAATTCGTTTGGGATTTTCAATATTTTTCATTCTGCAATCTGTACTGAAAAATGCGGTAGTTTACTAATATAACTTTGACTA